GGTGCCTGTAATCCCAGCTATTTGGAGGCTGAGGCAGGAGAATCACTTGAACCCAGGAGGCAGAGGTTGTGGTGTGCCGAGATCACGCTATTGGACTCCAACCTGGGCAACAAGAGCAAAAACTCTGTTTAAAAAATATATATATACACACACACACATATATATGTATGTGTATATATATGCATATACATACATATATATATATACACACATACACATGGGAATAAGGTCTGGCTTACTAGTTTTTAAAATAATAGCTTTTTTTTTTTTTTTTTTTTTTTTTGAGGAGTCTCTCTGTCCCCCAGGCTGGAGTGCAGTGACATGATCTCGGCTCACTCCAGCTTCTGCCTCCCAGGTTCAAGCAATTCTCCTGTCTCAGCCTCCTGAGTAGCTGGGACTACAGGTGCATGCCACCACGCCTGATTGATTTTTATATTTTTAATAGAGACAGGGTTTCGCCATGTTAGCCAGACAGGTCTCAAAGCCCCAACCTTAAGTAATCTGCCCACCTTGGCCTCCGAAAGTGCTGGGATTACAGGTGTGAGCTACCACGTCCAGCCAATAATAGCTTCATAGAGATAATTGTTTTAGTAGATTCTTTAGTTTTTTGTTTGTTTGTTTGTTTTGAGACAGAGTCTCACTCTGTCACCCAGGCTGGAGTGCAGTGGCACAATCTCAGCTCACTGCAAGGTCCACCTCCCGGGTTCACATCATTCTCCTGCCTCAGCCTCCCGTGTAGCTGGGACTACAGGCACCCACCACCACACCTGGCTAATTTTTTTTTTTTTTTGTATTTTTAGTAGAGACAGGGTTTCACCTTGTTAGCCAGGATGGTCTCGATCTCCTGACCTCGTGATCCACCCACTGGCCTCCCAGAGTGCTGGGATTACAGGTGTGAGCCACCACGCCCTGCCAATTCTTTAGTATTTCAACAAAAGGTCATGTTATCTGTGAATAGACATAGTTTTACTTTTTTCTTTCCACTCTTTTTCGTCTAATTGCTAGCCTACTTTTTAGGAAAGCTCTTTTTGAAGGTACAGATATTCTTTATTTTAAACATCCAAAAATTAGGAGAAGAGAAGCTAAGATTCAAAATTTTATTTATACGTTCAGAGAATCTAGAGCATGAAAAGTTGCATAGTAATCTGAGGAAGGAGAGCTGGAAATAGATGAAACTTTAACATTATCCAGTATGCCATGGACCAGAATGTCAGCTGTACCTCTTTTGCACCAAAAACCAGCTTAATTTGGGAAACTTTCCCTGTGGAGAAAGTGGAAGTCGTAGAAGTAGAACTGACAGGATTTACTTTACTATTAGCTTTACAGGAACATCTTTTCCGTAAAGTGAAAGATCTTTTCATCATACTTTCTGTGTGTTATAATGAAGGTAAAACATTCTATTAACTTTTTTTTTCCTTTCTGAGACAGAGTCCTGCTCTGTTGCCCAGGCTGGAGTACGGTGGCATGATCTCGGCTCACTGCAGCCTTTGCCTGCCGTGATCAAGTGATTTCTGGCTAGTTTTTGTATTGTAGAGATGGGGTTTCACCTTGTTGGCCAGGCTGGTCTCGAACTCCGGATCTCAAGTGATCCACCCGCTTCAGCCTCCCAATGTGCTGGGATTACAGATGTGAGCCACTGCTCCCAGCCATTCTATTAACTTTTGACTAGCATATGATTATTTGTGAGCTATATCAACCTTGAGTGCTATCAAATGGATGGTACTAGTAGTAAAGAAAAATCCTCAGTAAGAAAAGGAGATTAAATTAGAGAAGACCCTAATATAACAATGTAAATTCTATTGGATACCATGGAAATTGAACCATTGAAAAGAGTAAATTTAACCAACTTGAATAACTGTGCTGCAGCAGAAAAATGCCTCTAAGAGTGTTCCATACAATCCTTTTAGGATTTTCTGAGTCGCTTTTAATCGGAAACAATATTTAACTTTTTTTTGTGAAAAGCACATTGGCGAAGTTATAGAGAAATCGGAACTCCTTTTACGTTGCAGGCGGGAATGTAAGGTGGTATAACCACTGTAGAAGACAGCTTAGCGGTTTCTCAAAAAATTAGGCATAGAATTACCATGTGATCCAGCAATTCCACTTGGATTCCACAAAAGAATCCAAAGCAAGGACTCAAACAGATATTTGTACACCCATGTTTATAGCAGCACTATTTATAACAGCCAAACATGGAAGCAACCCCAAGTGTCCATCGATGGATGAATGGATAATAAAAAGTGGTGTATACAGCAGTGGAATCATATTCAGCTTTTAAAAAAAGGGAAATTCTAGGTGGGCACAGTAGCTGTAATCCCAGCATTTAGTAAGGCCAAGGTGGGTGGATCACTTGAGGCCAGAAGTTCGAGACCAGCCTGGCCAACGTGGTGACACCCTGTCTCTATTTAAAAAAAAAAAAAAAAAAAAAAAAATATATATATATATATGTATATATATGTGTATATATATGTATATACATACATATACACACACACACAAATTAGCTGGGCGTGGTGGCACTCACCTGTAATCCCAGCTACTGGGGAGGCTGAGGCACAAAAATTGCTTGAACTTAAGAGGTGGAGGTTGCAGTGAGCCGAGATCACCCCATTGCACTCCAGCCTGGGTGATGGAGTGAGACCCTGTCTCAAATAAGTAATAAAATAAGAAGAAGGAAATTGTGACACATGCTACAACATGGATGAACCTCAAAGACCAGGTGAAATAAACCAGTCACCAAAAAAGATGTGATGCCACTGATAAGAGATACCTAGAGTTGTCAGATTTGTAGAGACAGTAGAATGGTGGCTGCCAGGGCCTGACAGGAGGGAGGGCTAGGGAGCTGGTGCTTAGTGAGTGCAGAGGTTCCATTTGAAAAGATGAAAAGGTTCTGGAGGTAGATGGTGGTATGGTGATGGCTGCACAACAGTGTGGATGTACTTAATGCCACTCAACTGTACACTTAAAAATGGTTACAATGTGGCTCACGCCTGTAATCCCAGCACTTTGGGAGGCCAAGGCGGGTGGATCACGAGGTCAAGAGATGGAGACCGTCCTGGCTATAACACAGTGAAACCCTGTCTCTACTGAAAATACAAAAAATTAGCTGTGCATGGTGGTAGATGCCTGTAGTCCTAGCTACTTGGGAAGCTGAGGCAGGAGAATGGCATGAACCCCGGAGGCGGAGCTGGCAGTGAGCCAAGATTGCGCCACTGCACACCAGCCTGGGCAACAGAGCGAGACTCTGTCTCAAAAAAAAAAGTTACAATGGTAGATTTTTCTATTATGTGTATGTCACCACAAAAAAAAAAAAAAGTTTAAAAGAAAAAGCAATTGGCTGGGCCCAGTGGGTCACGCCTGTAATCCCAGCACTTTGGGAGGCCAAGGCTGGTGTATCACCAGGTCAGGAGATTGAGACCATCCTGGCTAACGCTGTGAAACCCCATCTTTACTAAAAATACAAAAAATTAGCCGGCCGTGGTAGCGGGCGCCTGTAGTCCCAACTGCTCAGGAGGCTGAGGCAGGAGAATGGCATGAACTTGGAAGGCGGAGCTTGCAGTGAGCCGAGATTGTGCCACTGCATTCCAGCCTGGGTGACAGAGTGAGACTCCATCTCAAAAAAAAAAAAAGCAGTCATGGTATAATCTTTGGACTTGAGATACTTACTAGGCTTTGATTTTAAATAACCATCATCCTGTCCATGAAAATTATTAGAGTTTTCTATTCCTTAAATTCCACCTTCCCCCCTCCCGCCAACAATTTTTTTTCATTTTTAATTTTTGAGACAAGGTGTCTCTCTGTCGCTAAAGCTGGAGTGCAGTGGCATGATGATGGCTCACTGCAGCCTTGACCTCCCAGGCTAAGCTATCTTCTCACCTCAGCCTCCTGAGTAGCTGGGAGCACAGGCACACACCACCACATCTGGCTAGTTTTTTTCATTTTTTGTAGAGATGGGGTTTATACTGTGTTGCTCAGGCTGGTTGGGAACTCCTGGGTTCAAGTGCCTGGACCTCCCAAAGTCCTGGGATTACAGGTATAAGCACTGAGCTGGCCCTATTCCTTATATCCCTGTGTAAGTTTCTACTATATTAGGTAAAGATCTAGAAGATAGGATTGTTAGAAGCAGTAAATCCAAAAGAAATCTTTGAACCTATTTCTCAGTTAATCTTATTATGATGAGGAAATTGTTCCCCATGTGGAACCCTCCGCCAGATATTCATCCTACTTTCACAGGATTTCATTGTCTAGTACAGACTCTGCACAGCTTCCTCCTGTGTTAGGCCGGTCGTGGTGGCTCATGCCTGTAATCCCAGCACTTTGTGAGGCCGAGGCGGGCAGATCACCTGAGGTGAGGAGTTCAAGACCAGCCTGACCAGCTTGGAGAAACCCCATCTCTACTAAAAATACAAAGTTATCTGGGCCTGGTGGCGCATGCCTTTAATCCCAGTTACTCGGGAGGCTGAGGCAGGAGAATCGCTTCAGCCTGGGGGGCAGAGGTTGCAGTGAGCCGAGATCAAGCCATTGCACTCCAGCCTGGGCAACAAGAGTGAAACTCGGTCTAAATAATAAATAAATAAATAAATAAAAATACAAAGCTGGGTGTGGTGGTGAACGCCTGTAATCCCAGCTACTTGGGAGGCTGAGGCAGGAGAATTGCTTGAACCCGGGAGGCAGAGGTTCCAGTGAGCTGAGATCATACCACTGCACTCCAGCCTGTGCAACAGAGGAAGATTCTGTTTCAAAAAAAAAAGAAAGGCAGAAAAATAAAATATGTCTAACTGATGCTTTTTGAAGCATGTTTTTTTCACTGTGTTAATGATAGCAGTATTCTACAGACATTACAATACATTCTGTATTGTAACCAAATCAGATGAGAGTCGAGCTTGAGATCTCTCAAACATTTTATTGTCTCAAGGAACTAATGAGAAGGTTGACTCCTTATCATTTTTAATAGACCTTGCCTGAGGGGTTTTAAAGGTTTGTCTTTTCTTATTATTCAGGTCGATCTTGGAGAAAGAGGGACCAAAGTCACTTTTTAGAGGCTTGGGTCCAAATTTGGTTGGAGTTGCACCATCAAGGTAAGCATTAAACTTTCCAGCTAGCCCGTGCTAAGCAGTGTGGAATTCTGGGTCCTTTCTTACCAAAGGGTGATGCTGCTGAATGACCCTGTGTCTTTTTTCTGTGTTGGATTTGCCTAAATGTAGCGGACATAGCGAATAGTCATTGAGAATTGTAGGTGTGTCTTCAGTGTGTGAAAGAGATTCTACTTATCATATCTTCATATTCTTAAGTGTGAAAATTAATCTGCTATCATTACTGTAATGTACTCTAAGTGTTTGCTCCTCTAAGTATGGCATGCGGCCAGCAGCATTAGTACTGTCTGAGAGCTTGTTATAAATACACAATCCCAGGGCACATCCCAGACCTACATCAGAATCTGCATTTTAACAGAACCCCCGGGTGACTCCAACGCACTTAGAAACACTGATCCGGAGGAACTGTAAAGGCTTTTAACTTCACTTTCTATCAAATGACATCCTCATATTTTTGCAGGGCTTCTCCTGAAAGCCTGTTTGAAATATACAGAACTGTACTGTCACAGTATATAATGATAGTCACTGGCCACAAGGAGCTGTTTAAATGTAAATTAATCAGAATTAAAGGTTCAGTTGCTCAGCTCCCTGGCCATATTTCAAGCATTCAATCTCCACATGCAGCTAATGGCTACTGTATTGAAGAGCAGAGATACACAGCATCCCATCTTGGCAGAAAGTTCTCTTGGATAGATAGGATAGAGAGGATAACAATGTATGATTGATTGTAAAAGTAACAGAGACAGAGAGAGAATAGCATATCTGGAAAGCAGATTAAAAACTGCCTCCAGGCTGGGCATGGTGGCTCACCCGTGTAATCCCAGCACTTTGGGAGGCCAAGGCAGGTGGATCACCAGAGGTCAGGAGTTGGAGACCAGCCTGGCCAACTTGGCAAAACCCTGTCTCTATTAAAAATACAAAAATTAGCCAGGCATGGTGGCGGGCACCCGTAATCCCAGCTACTCTGGGGGCAGAGGTTGCAGTGAGCCAAGATCATGCCACTTCACTCCAGCCTGGGTGAAAGAGCAAAACTCATCTCAAAAAGAAAAAACAAAACAAAAAAACTTCTTCCAGAAAGGACCTCCTGAGAAGGGAACTGGGTGGCAGGGGCAGGACACTTAACTTGTCATACTCCAAGAGACTTGAAAGAAAATGAAGTCTTTCAACAAAAATGAGAATGTTGTCTTATATAGGGTGAAGACCAAAAGCTTATAGAATTCCTCCAGATCAGTGCTCCAATTTAAACATAAATTGGCTGGGTGCAGTAGCTCACACCTGTAATCTCTGCACTTTGGGAGGCCGAGGCAGGTGGATTACTTGAGGTCAGGAGTTTGAGACCAGCCTGGCCAACGTGGTGAAACCACATCTCTACAAAAATACAAAAATTAGCTGAGCGTGGTGGCATGCACCTGTAATCCCAGCTGCTCGGGAAGTTGAGGCAGGAGAATGGCTTGAACCCAGGCGATGGAGGTTGCAGTGAGGTCAGGTCACGCCACTGCACTCCAGCCTGGGTGACAGAGCAAGAACGCCATCTCAAAACAAACAAACCAAAAACATCACCTGGGGATGTTGTAAAAAGGCAGACTTTTTTACTGCTTTTGTTCCTTTAGAATTTTGTAGCAAGTATGTATGATGTTTTTAAAAACAGAATGTACTAGTCTGTGAGATGATCTGGGGTGTGCATTATTCATAGATGGGAAACTACTGCCCATCTGTAGTAAACAAAGTGAGAAGAGCCCTCGCTGCTCACAGGCAGTGCTCCTACAGTGTAACCCTGGTAACCTGATGCAGATTCCTGGCTGCCTCACCCATTTAGAACAATTGGGGTTTAGGGGAAAAGGAAGACTTTTATAACACAATAATGATAAGTAGTTAAGATCCTGAACTGAAAAATATATTCTATGATTAAGATTCATTGGCCAACAGAAGAAAGAAACATTTTCCCTGCATTGCTGGTGAAAGAGCAGGAAAAGTGCCAAGTAGCTCCTATTTCCCAGCCCCAAAAGAGGGAAGATAGCAGGGGGAAAAGTGAAGAGAAAACAAAGGTGACAGGACCACTCTGTGGTAGTCAAGGCAGTGGGGTGGTGGAAGGACTCTTTATGAAAACACAGGTATGATATGATGGCTGCTCCTGTGTGATCCTGAGTCATGCAAAAACAGTTCAAATTATGTTCGACATTCTCATTTTGGCACAAGGTGAAAAAGTGTGGTCTATTCTAGAAACATAAACAAAAATTTAAAACTTCCAATGTGTTGATGCTTAAAGGATTAGCATTTATCCAGAACGAAGAATGTAAAAGGACTTTATAGATGTCTTCCCCAAATCTCACTTTCCTCAATTATTTTTGAACACCTCTGTCATCACTAAATCATTTCTGGAGGGACACACAAGAGCTTCCTGAACGTGCCTGTGGCAGGTTTTGGTTTTAGCACAGGCGAGGACTTTTGGGTGCGTGGCAGTGTCTTTCCCATTTTATTTTCTGAAAATTTTTCAAGTATTCTGGAGGGACATATAAAGTTGCACTATGATGATTTCTTTATAATGTTCTCTTTGTTCTAACAGGGCTGTATACTTTGCATGTTACTCCAAAGCCAAAGAGCAATTTAATGGCATTTTCGTGCCTAACAGCAATATTGTGCATATTTTCTCAGCTGGCTCTGCAGGTATGTCACCCTAGTGAGCGAAGAGAGGGTTTCTCTCGCTTTTCTAAAGCATGCACTCTGCCAAACAGTTTTTCCAGGAATTAGAAATTAGCTCCTTTCTTCCTTTGCACCTAAAATTGTTTTTCTAAAGCTTTATATTACAACTGATAGGAGAGTGACAGTGGTTTGTAGCTTGATTTTATTTTCCTTACCCACCAAAACTCTTTATTTGCCCTCAAAATTTACATGTTCTATGCATGCTATTGGTATTTTGTTCTTCTAAAGGAATATTCATAGGTTTTTCATGTCTTCCTGTTTGCTCATCAAATTATATATATATATAGATTTATTTATTTTAATTTTTTTTTTTGAGACAGTCTCACTTTGTCACCCAGGCTGGACTGGAGGGCAGTGGTGCAATCTCGGCTCACTGCACCCTCCTTCTCCCAAGTTAAAGTGATTCTTGTGCCTTAGCCTCCTGAGTAGCTGAGATTACAAGTATTTGCCACCACGCCTGGCTAATTTTTGCATTTTTAATAGAGACGGGGTTTCACCATGTTGCCCAGGCTGATCTCAAACTCCTGACCTCAAGTGATCCACCTCCTTGGCCTCCCAGAGTGCTGGGATTATAGGCATGAGCCACTGTGCCTGGCCCCGCCCCATCAGATGATTTTCTAAAATTAGAGTTTCCTTCTTCAGATTCCCCACGGGGTCCCACACACCCTGTGTACAATTGGCACTCCTGTCCCCAACTATGGGTTATGCAGTGAGGGTGTCGGGCTTGCAGTGGAGTTTTTCAGGAGGGTCAGTGACAGTTCACAGGGCATCTGTTCTCTTTTGAGGGAACCATTCCACTTCCTAATGAAAAGCCGTAGCAGAACTTCTTCCCCAGGATGTACTTGTAAAACATGAACGTGTAGCTATTTGAGAGAAGGGAAGGCTCTTTTTTTTTTTTTTTTTTTTTTTTTTGAGACAGGGTCTCACTCTGTCGCCCAGGCTGGAGTGCAACAGCAAGATCTCGGCTCACTGCAACCTCCTCCTCCTGGGTTCAAGGGATTCTCCTGTCTCAGCCTCCCAAGTAGCTGGGACTACAGGCACGGGCCACCACACCCAGCTAATTTTTTGTATTTTTAGTAGAGGCGAGGTTTCACCGTGTTAGCCAAGATGGTCTCGATCCGCCTGCCTCGGCCTCCCAAAGTATTGGGATTACAGGCGTGAGCCACCGCTCCTGGCCGAGAAGGCTGTGTCTAGAAGGCTGTATAGAGTTCTATGTCCATTTAAACAGAAGGGTTTTTTTTTTTTTTAATTGGTTTTGTTTTGTTTTTTGTTTTGTTTTGTTTTAATACAGGGTCTGGCTCTGTCGCCTAGGCTGGAGTGCAGTGGCATGATCTCAGCTCCCTGCAATCCCCACCTCCTGGGCTCAAGCCATCCTCCTGCCTCTAGCCTCCTGAGTAGCTGAAAGTACAGCTGCACACCAGCATGCCCAGCTAATGTTTTTGTATTTTTTGTAGAAATGGGGTTTAACCATGTTGCCCAAGCTGGCCTCGAATTCCTGAGCTCAAGTGACCCACCTACCTCATCCTCCTAGAGTGCTGGGATTGCAGGCATGAGCCACCACGCCAGGCCTAGAAAGATATTTTAGAGAACTTAAATTGGCATTTTACGAAAAATTTGCATCTCCTATCGGTCTGTAAGATGTACACACCATTTTTGTTTGCCATTGTTACTCCAAATACAAGTATGACCAACTTGTCTGAATATTTATAGCTAATTATTTCTAGACCCTGAATAGAAAATGTTAAAGTTGCTTTATACAAGGAAGCCGTTTCTATGTAATACAGAGCTCTGAGGAGGAAAGGCAGAGTTCCAAAACAGGTTGCTCTTTGCTTAAAGATAGGCCAGTAGTGAGTTACCATAAGCTAACAACTATTAATCCGTTTTGTAACTTTCGCAAAGTTAACTTAGAACCCTTGATAAATAAAGCAGACCTCAAGGAAGTTCTTAAAAACAGTGTCGGCCGGGCGCGGTGGCTCACGCTTGTAATCCCAGCTCTTTGGGAGGCCAGTTAAATTATTTTGGGATCTGAGGCTTATAAATTGAGTTTTAGGACAGTTATAATTTTTGGTAGGAATCACATTAACACAGATATCAACAGTACCATCTAGAGGTTGAAAAGACTAGAAGGGATTCCAGAAAATTAAGAGAAATTTATTTTAGATCCAGCAATACCAATAGATGTTACAATTAATGGGGAAACTGAAGCTTTTATCTGCAGGATAGAAATATAACTGCTTCCGGCTGGGCGCAGTGGCTCACGCCTGTAATCTCAGAATTTTGGGAGGCCAAGGCAGGTGGATCACGAGGTCAGGAGATTGAGACCATCCTGGCTAACAGGGTGAAACCCCGTCTCTACTAAAAATACAAAAAATTAGCCGGGTGAGGTGGCCGGCGCCTGTGGTCCCAGCTACTCGGGAGGCTGAGGCAGGAGAATGGCGTGAACCTGGGAGGCAGAGCTTGCAGTGAGCTGAGATCGCACCATTGCACTCCAGCCTGGGCAACAGAACAAGAATCTGTCTCCAAAAAAAAAGAAAAAGAAAAAGAAATATAACTGCTTCCTACTGTCTTTTTATTAGGCCATTGAAATCCTGATTTCAAAGTTTATTATATGATAATAGACATCTTTAATGTATTGACTATGTACAGTGTTGACCTTTACTGTTTTGTTTTTTTTTTCCAGCTTTTATCACAAATTCCTTAATGAATCCTATATGGATGGTTAAAACCCGAATGCAGCTAGAACAGAAGTAAGTTATTATTTGTTCCTTCCTTAATGAAAGGATTTTTGGGATTTTTTGTTTCTTGCCCCAATTCCCCCACATCTCTAAGGAATGAGATATACAGATTCCTTAGCTATCCCCCTCCTCGTTTTCTTAATTTAAGTGCATGCAGGATTCCTTTTGCATTGAGGTTTGTGTTGTGAGCATCACTGGAAGATGAGGGCAACAGAGATGACAAACAGGGGAAGGAGGGGATTTCTCTGGTTGCGTTCCCTGATCCCCAGTCCCGCCTGTTGTCTCAGAGAGTCAGTGACTGTCTCTCCTTTGCAGACCCCATCCCAGTTGAAGTGCTGTGGGTTCTGCTCCAGATGGTCCCCCTCTCAAAAGGGAAGACAGTAAAGGCAGAATTCTGAGTGTCCTCAGACCTCAGAGGGCTAATTTTAGTCTCCAAAGGCCCTAAACTATAATAGGCTTCTGCCCTCGAACTCCAGCCAGGGGTTTGTAACTTTTTGTAGGGCTGTGGATTCCTTTGGTAGTCTGGTGACACCTGCAGGCCCTTTTTAGAATAATGTTGTTTTTTGGGTGTTTTTTTTGTTTTGTTTTGTTTTGTTTTGTTTTTGAGATAGGGTCTCACTTGCTGCCCAGGCTGAAGTACAGTGCAATCTCAGCCCACTGCAATCTATGCCTCCCAGGTAGAATAATGTATTTTTTTTCCCTTTTCTTTTTTTTTTTTTTTTTTTTGAGACAGGGTCTCATCTATCACCCAGCCTCGACCTCCCAGGCTCAAGCAATCCTCCTGCCTCAGCCTCACCTCCTCAGTAGTTTGAGATCATAAGTGCATGCCACCACACCCAGCTAATTTTGTTTTTCTTACAGAGATGGATCTTGCCATGTTGCCCAGGCTGGTCTCAACTCCTGGGCTCAAGCAATCCTCCTGTCTCGGCTTCCCAAAGTGCTGGGATTACAGACGTGAACCACCACACCAGGCCTTACAATAAGGTTTTTAAAAATACACTTATCAGTGATATAGTAGTATGCCTCTTTAACACATTAAATTAACAAGATATAGCAGTAGTCCAGTAACTGCCATAATTTCTAAGAAATGATAAACCGTGTCCTGTGATGTTTTCAACAAATGTAATGTGACATGAAAATATTTCTATGTGTGTCAAATCACAGGTACTACTACTAGTACTACTGTGGCCTGTTTATTTACATTTGTAATAAATATGATTAACCCAAGCTAATGGAACCCGGCGTAAAGAGTGTTTTAAACTTATCATCAATAAAGCTAAGTTTCATCTAAGTTGTAAAAAACCCTAGCTGAAATGAAATAAAGTACGAAGGTGGCTTTAATACTTCTGAAGACACAATAGCTAAGACCCAAACTGGGATTAGATACCCCACTATGCTTAGCCCTAAACTCCAATAGTTAACAATTTAACTTTTGGATTTCGGTTAGGGATTAGGGTTAAAGATGCCATTTTCTCCCCAGTCCAAGTGAACGAACTACCAGCATTCTATTAAGAACCCCTGTATTACTGTGTTGCCTGGAAATATGTACACTGGAAACTTCTAGCCAGTCCACTCTGATTTTCAGCTGCCTCTAAAGAAAGGAGGCAGGCTGGACATGGTGGCTCATGCCTGTAATCCCAGCACTTTGGGAGGCTGAGGAGGGCAGATCACAAAGTCAGGAGTTCGAGACCAGCCTGGCCAACATAGTGAAACCGCGTCTCTACAAAAAACACAAAAATTAGCTGGGCATGGTGGCATGCACCTGTAATCCCAGGGAGGCTGAAGCAGGAGATCGCTTGAACCCAGAAGTTGGAGGTTGTAGCTGAGATCGCACCACTGCACTCCAGCCTGGGGGATAGAGTGAGTAAGACTCTGTCTCAAAAAAAAAAAAAAGAAAAGCGTGGTTAGTTCTAGGGAGCTGTAAGACAGAAAGTGTGGTTGGCGTGTAGTATGTGCATCTGCTTCGAGGAGAAGGGAGTTATGGAAGAATAAGGCTGGAAGAGCAGGGGAGCCCAATCCTTCCCAGGCCTAAAAGGGAATTTGGAGTTGGACTTTGAGGGCAGTGGAAAGTTATCAGAGCAGTGGTCCTCGGGAAATGGAGGATGGAAGTAGGGGGTGCCTTCCAGGGGACATTCAGCAGCTAAGTTTGGAGACATTTGAAGTTGCCACAACTTAGGTGGGTGTTTTTGGTGTCTAGTGTGAATAGAGGCTGGGATGCTGCTAAACATCCTACAAGGCACATGACAGCCTGCTTCTCCCCAAACTGAATGATCTAGCCCCAAATGTGAATAGTGCCAAGGGTGAGAAACTCTGGATGTTTTGTTTTGTTTTGTTTTGAGATGGAGTCTTGTCCTGTAGCCCAGGCTGGAGTGCAGCTGCGCATCTCGGCTTACTGCAAGCCCCGCCTCCCAGGTTCATGCCATTCTCCTGCCTCAGCCTCCCGAACAGCTGGGAATACAGGTGCCCGCCACCACGCCCAGCTAATTTTTTTAGTAGAGACAGGGTTTCACCGTGTTAGCCAGGATGGTCTCGATCTCCTGACCCTGTGATCTGCCCGCCTCGGCCTCCCAAAGTGCTGGGATTACAGGCACCCAGCCTCTGGATGGGAGTTGCATGGTTGGATTTGTGTTAGAAAGGTCACTGCGACTAAGGAGCGGGAACAGTCTATGTGGAGATAATAAAGGGAGAGAGGCCAGTTGAGACTGAGTGAAGCCCAAGGGCCCCAGGTCTGCGCCTGCTTGGAGGGGTCTGTGACGTGTGACCGATGCACAGCTGACTACGCTCATCCAGTGGCTCACTCCTGCCTTGCAGCCAGGCAGTTCATAAATGCTTTACGTCCTGGGGTAGGAGCCTCTAAACCTGAGGCTTTTCATTTGCTGTTTTATTTTGATGTTTTATGATTTTATAAATTTAGCAATAATTAGAATCTATTTGGAGATGAGTGCAATCAGAAATCTAATAAGTAGCCTCACCAACAGGTTGGAATGTTCCTGTTTTTCTTTCTTATTATTTATTTTTTTGTAGAGATGGGGCCTCACTACATTGGCCAGGCTGGTCTTGAACTCCTGGCCTCAAGCAGTCCTTCCGCCTCAGCCTCCCGAAGTGCTGGGATTACAGGTGTGAGCCACTGCGCCTAGCCCTTGTGCTCGTCCTTTACCTTTAACTTAGTCCTGTTTTCCACTGAAAGCATTCCCTGTGTCTCACGGCCTTGTGACTTAATCTAGCAGGTGTGCTATGGTCAGCTATCTGGATTGTTCTGATTGTTTTGCAGTTGTAGTTCCTCTGTGATGAGCCTTACTGCTCGCTGCAGCTCTTTCTAAAATTAGGTCAAACGTTAATGTTTTTATGAACATGTTTCTATGACTCTTGATACAGATGTAGTGAGTATTCTGTGGGCCTGTCAGATGTGCCAGCTAATTGGTCTGGCCTCAGTGGGCTGGGGGTCAGCTGACAACAGTACAAAGATACGTGGGAAAAACTCTTCCTCAAACCATGTTTTTCCTCCACTGTCACACCACAACAGTCATTGACACAGAAGATGACTTCTGTGACCAAATGTGCAGGGGGTTTTTCCCACACACTGAGCAGCGGACACCAGCTGGGTGTCCTCTCTTTCAGTTCCGACACTGTCTACCAGGAGACAGCCCCATAGACTGGGGGCTTAGCCCCCAGGACTGCCTACCCCCCACCCACCCACACACCAGTTGCATGTCTGGGCCTCCAGAGCTTCTGAACGACCAGCTTCAAGTTGGGGTTCCCATGCCCCTCTCTTTGGATTCTATTAATTTGCTGGAGTGGCTCACAGAACTCAGAGAAACACTTAATATTTACTGGTTTGTTATAAAGGACATCGCAAGGATACAGAAGAAGAAATAGGTAGGGCCAGGTACAGAGTAAGGGGCGCGGAGCTTTCATACCCTCCCCAGGGGCCACCCTCCAGGAGCCTGCATGCGATCAGCTCTGAAAGCTCCCTGAACCCTGTCCTCTTGGGTTTTTCTGGAAGCTTCATGCCAGCAGCATTCCTTCCCCCAAGGGATAGAAGGGGACTCTCATGGAGTAAGACCAACAGGGTAGGGACATTAGAGGATGGCCTTGGGGCAGGCGAAAGGAGATTGAGGGACTATCAGAGGCTGTCCCTGTGGCCTCACACACCCCACATTGTAACAAAAGACAAGGGCTATGAGAGTTAGGAGCCAGGAATGAGGATGAAAACAGGTATCCTAACACCACAAGGAAGACCCATTCTCCTACTGTGTGATATCTCTGTGTTCCGCCATGATGTGTCTCTTTAATAGCCTGTGCTGGTCTCTTTTATGCAGAGTGAGGGGCTCTAAGCAGATGAATACACTCCAGTGTGCTCGTTACGTTTACCAGACTGAAGGCATTCGTGGCTTCTATAGAGGATTAACTGCCTCTTATGCTGGAATTTCCGAAACTATAATCTGCTTTGCTATTTATGAAAGTTTAAAGAAGTATCTGAAAGAAGCTCCATTAGCCTCTTCTGCAAATGGGACTGAGAAAAATTCCACAAGTTTTTTTGGACTTATGGCAGCTGCTGCTCTTTCTAAGGGCTGTGCCTCCTGCATTGCTTATCCACACGGTATGTTTTGCTTTTGTTCTTCCAGAGCAGTAAAACAGCTGTCAGGTTTGTCATTTGTGGGTATATCTAGACTTCTGTGGCACACGCTGAGGCACAGGATCCCTGCAGGTAAGGTCAGTGAGTACAAGGGAAACGGCTCTAACCGCATGGACGGAGGTCACGTGAGTGGTGGGAACTCGACCTTACTCAGCTCCAGCTGATTATAGCCAAAACTTGCTGTGCAGAAACGCAGGCCCTGGGTTGCTAAACTTCTGCTGTTTTCAAGGAAGCTAAAAATCTGGATTGTATTTAATATTCCTTGAATCAAAATAATAATATGGGAGCCAAACTTAAAAATCACTCAGCCTCGGCCGGGCATGGTGGCTCACGCCTGTAATCCCAGCACTTTGGGGAGGCTGAGGCAGGTGGATCATGAGGTCAAGAGATTGAGACCAGCCTGGCCAACACGGTGAAACTCCATCTTTACGAAAAATACAAAAATTAGCTGGGCATGGTAGCACACACCTGTAGTCCCAGCTACTTGGGAGGCTGAGGCAGGAGAATTGCTTGAACCCGGGAGGTGGAGGTTGCCGTGAGCCGAGATCAAGCCACTGCACTCCACTCTGGTGACAGAGCAAGACCCTGTCTCAAAAATAAAAAATAAAAATAAAAATCAGCCTCCATTTCTAATGGAGCCTTAAGTAAGGCTACTTTGGGTAAGTTTTTTTTTTTAAGTTATGGAATTGTTGACCTACCGGCCTACTTGTTTTTAAAAATGCTTAGTTTATTGTGCCATGAAAAACAGGGTTTATTTTCATAAGCCTACTTACTGTCAGCTATGACAAATGAATACAGTCAACTCAGTAACAGGTGCTGAGTCCCCCTTGTGTCCTGGGACACTAAGCTGACCCCAAAGGACATGTGAGGAAAGAGGTCAGTGATGTCTCCCAGGGTCTGAGGCCTGTGTGAGGGCAGAAATGATGAATGTCCAACTGTAGGTGTCTGGGAAGGAGGCCCAGGTGGGCAAAGGCTAGCAAAAGGAGAGGGTGGCTTTTGAGCCGGGCGGAGTAGAAAATATTTCCAGGAGGAAGAGAAAACTGAAAAGTATAAGAAAAGAATTCGTTGAAGATATTGCCATACTTCATACAAATTACACCTTCAGTGAAATTAGCATTTGCTTAATTGGGAGTAGAAAACCGTGAATTATTTTAACATTAAGTCCCATTCAAACTCAGCTTTTCTTTTAACACCCTCCCCCCACTTTTTTTTGTTTTTTGAGACTGAGTCTTGCTCTGTGCCCCAGGCAGGAGTGCAGTGGCACGATCTTGGCTCACTGCAAGCTCCGCGGTTCACGCCATTCTCCTGCCTCAGCCTCCTGAGTAGCTGGGACTACAGGCGCCCGCCACCACGCCCGGCTAGTTTTTTGTATTTTTTTAGTAGAGATGGAGTTTCACAGTGTTAGCCAGGATGGTCTTGATCTCCTGACCTCGTGATCTGCCCACCTCGGCCTCCCAAAGTGCTGGGATTACAGGCTTGAGCCACCATGCCCGGACTTTTTAACTCCTTAAAAGTTATTTTGCTGTAATCCCAGCACTTTGGGAGGCCAAGACGAGAACATCACCTGAGAAAAGGAGTTCGAAACCAGGCTGGCCAACATGGCGAAACCCCGTCTCTACTAAAAATACAAAAATTAGCCAGGCATGGTGGCGGGTGCTTGTAATCCCAGCTACTCAGGAGGCTGAGGCAGGAGAATCACTTGAACCAGGGAGGCAGAGGTTGCAGTGAGCCAAGATCGTACCCACTGCACTCCAGCCTGAGTGACAGAGTGAGACTCTGCCTCAAAAAAAAAATAAGTTATTTTGTACTTTTGTGTATATGTAAGCGTCAATAGTTGACCAAATCCTAGAGTTGGAAATGGTTCTAAAAAGAACTTAATTTTTCATTATCTCTCTAGGTATATGACTTTCCTGTCCAAATACAGCTGAGGTGGGAAACAGACATAGTTGTAACCTTGACAATTTTATTTTATTTATTTCTTTTTTGAGACAGAGTCTTGCTTGCTCTGTGGCCCAGGCTGGAGTGCAGTGGCAACAATCCCGACTGCAACCTTCACCTCCCGGGTTCAAGTGATCTTCACTCCTCAGCCACTCTAATAGTAGGCGTGCACCACCATGCCTGGCTAATTTTTGTATTTTCAGTAGAGACGGAGTTTCACCATGTTGGCCAGGCTGGTCTCCAACTCCTGGCCTCAAGTGATCCGCCCACCGCTGCCTCCCAAAGTTCTGGGATTACAGTGTGAGACACCGCAACCGGCCTAACCTTGACAGTTTTAAAGTTGCGTGCTGTGGATTCTTTCCCCATTTAATATGTGGAGTAAAGTAGGTCTTTCTCTCTCTGCAGAAGTCATAAGGACAAGGCTCCGGGAAGAGGGCACCAAGTACAAGTCTTTTGTCCAGACGGCGCGCCTGGTGTTCCGGGAAGAAGGCTATCTCGCCTTTTATAGAGGACTCTTTGCCCAGCTTATCCGGCAGATCCCAAATACTGCCATTGTGTTGTCTACTTACGAGTTAATTGTGTACCTGTTAGAAGACCGTACTCAGTAACATGCCAGAAAATTGTGCTCTAGAAGAATAAAACTGAAAAACTCTAGAGAATTTTTTCCCCCATTGATGTTTAGAACGTTTGAGACTGAAACAGGAAAGGCCATAAAATATCTGGCTAATATCACCTGTTGGACATTTCCTTTTGGATTCATGCTTTCTGGAAGGTTTAAATTCATTAACGTTAATAGTTAATTATAACATTTTTTTTAACTTAAGAGGATTCAGGGTTAAGCACCAACTAAATTAAATCATGCTATTTAATTTAAGTATACATTTGGCTTGTGTCCTCTTTTATGCTCACTGTACCATGAAGGACTTAAGTAGTTCAGATAAACATGCCCTAGAAATGCATAGAAAAATGACAAAGTCAGAATACAACTTGTCTTGTAATCTGACTTTAAGATCTTGCACTGCTAGATAAGGAAGAAATGTCACATTTTGGCTGGGTGCAGTGGCTCACGTCTGTAATCCCAGCACTTTGGGAGGCTGAGGCGGATGGATCACCTGAAGTCAGGAGTTCCAGACCAGCCTGGCCAACATGGCGAAACCCTGTCTCTACTAAAAATATAAAAATTAGCCAGGCGTGCGCCTGTAATCCCAGCTACTTGGGAGGCTGAGGCAGGAGAATCACTTGAAACCCCCCGGGGGCGGAAGTTGCAGCCAGCCAAGATCATGCCACTTTACTCCAGCGTGGTTGACAGAGCGAGACTCTATCTCAAAAGAAAAAGCGTCACATTTTGATGGTGGTGTGTGGACCAGGACAAACTTCCCAGCAATTTTTCTCCTTCGTACATTTCCGATTACATGCAGATTGATCATCTAAGCTTTCAGACTACTGAGATGAATATATATAACTTTCTGACACTAAATATTTTAAGCTATAAAAAATTTCCTGAAGTTATCCTCTTCTCCCTACTTTGAACCAAAGGCAAGAATTTTTAAAGAACTGTTTATCAGTGGCCTGGCTCCTGGATATAGTTCCGGAAGTTAAGACCAGTTACCTAGTTAAGTGTGTGACAGCACAGCCGACCTGTTTGGCTGTGAATCCAGAATGTGATGAAGAACGGTCATTCCCACTGAGGTCTTTAGCCCTATTCTTGGACCTCTGCTTTTGCAGAAAAGGAGCACAACATAGGACTATGGCTCACCCGTCAGAGAGCTTACCTTTATTCTGATAGAAAGCACTGGGATTATTTAAATATCCTAGTTCAATGTTAAAAAAAAAAAAAATTTTAACCCCAGCACTTTGGAAGGCCAAGGCGGGCGGATCAGGAGGTCAGGAGATCAAGACCATCCTGGCTAACACGGTGAAACCCTGTCTCTACTAAAAAAAAAATACAAAAAATTAGCCAGATGTGGTGGCGGGTGCCTGTAGTCCCAGCTACTCGGGAGGCTGAGGCAGGAGAATGGCGTGAACCCGGGAGGCAGAGCTGGCAGTGAGCCGAGATCACGCCACTGCACTCCGTCTCAAAAAAAAAAAGCCAGGGTGTTACCCCCTTGGTTTTAAAGCAAATTTAATGAGGGAAGGAAAAGATGGTACCAAGAAGGCAAGTAAAGCCCGTAGTCTTCCCATTAGCTGTCACTGGAATTTCAGTATATTGTACATGAAGGTGGGTTTTTAATCAAACGTCTAGAAAGATACTCATTTCTAATACCTATGCACTGTAGTTTCAGGTTTACTTGCAGACATTCTGTTAGGGTTAAGAGGAGGATATTTCCAAGTTATATTTAAATCGAGTTTACTTTTATTCACCTTTATATAGTCATAAGGGAAGTTAACTGGATTCTTGACTCTCTAGTATAATTGCTCCAACAACTATATAGAAGTCAAAATGAGTGACTTGAGTGAAGCTTCTGTACTTTACAGTACATGATAGGAATGCTATTCCAGAAGTTTTGTTTTTGAGATGGAGTCTCGCTCCGTCTCTCCCAGGCTGGAGTGCAGTGGCACGATCTCAGCTCACTGCAGCCTCTGCCTCCCGGTTTCAAGCAATTCTCCTGTCTTAGCCTCCTGGGTAGCTGGGACTGCAGGTGTGCACCACCACACCTGGCTAATTTTGTACTTTTAGTAGAGATGGGGTTTTACCATGTTGGCCAGGCTGGTCTCAAACTCCTGACCTCAGGTGATCTACCTGCCTCGGCCTCCCAAAGTACTGGGATTACAGGAGTGAGCCACCATACCTGGCCCGCCCTACGCCCCACGCCCTTTTTGTTGTTACTGTTTTCAGACAAGGTATCACTGAGTCACTGAAGCTGGATACAGTGACAAGGTCATAGCTCACTGTAACCTCAAACTCCTGGGCACAAGGGATCCTCCCACCTCAGCCTCCCAAAGTAGCTTGGACCACAGGAAAGTACCACCATGCCCAGCTAATGTTTTTTCATTTTTTGTGCAGACAAGGTTTTGCTATATTGCCCAGGCTGGTCTTAGACTACTGGCCAGAAGCGATCTTACCTCCTCAGCCTCCCAAAGGACTGGGATTACAGAGTAACATCTTATTTTAATATTCACATTCCTATTTTAGTATTCATATTCGATGATGGCACTTAGCAACATCCTCCTATATCCATATTAAAACCTGTTTTCCAAGATTGTATCTAATATGAAGGTGTAAAATTGCTTTGTTTTCACTCATTCTTGAATGAATAAATTAGATAGTAACTAATTATAATTTTAGTTTTCTGCTTCTCCTGCCCCAGGGCATGGAAATGCAAGCTGCTTAGGCACCCAAAGTAGGAAAGAAGTGATGTTTCCTCTATAAGCTTTACAGTTATAAAGCTCATTAGCTTTAAACATGGGAAATATCTGTGGTTTTTCTCATAATTTTTGTGGGTATATAGGAGGTGTATATATTTATGGGGTACATGAGATGTTTTGATGCAGGCATGCAACGTGAAATAAGCACATCATGGAGAATAGGGTCTCCATTTCCTTCAAGCATTTATCCATTGAGTTGCAAACAATCCAGTTACACTCTTATTTTGAAAGGTACAGTTAATGTTGGGGCTGAGTGGTTCACATTTGTAATCCCAGCACTTTGGGAGGGTGAGGCAGGCGGAGGAGCGCTTGTACTCAGGAGTTCGAGATCAGCCTGGCAACATGGTGAAACCCTGTCTTTATCTTAAAAAAAAAAAAAAAAAAAAAAAAAAACCTGGGTGTGGTGGTGGTGTGCACTTGTGTCAGCTGCTCCAGAAAATGAGGCAGGAGGATGAATGACTTGAGCCCAGGAGGCGGAGTTTGCAGTGAGCTGAGATGGCACCATTGCATTACAGCTTGGGTGACAGGAGTGACCCTGTCTCAAAAGTACGGTTAAATTATTATTGACTGTAGTCACCCGGTTATGCTTTTTTCTTTCTCTTTTTATCAAATGAAGATTTTTTTTTTTTTTTGAAACGGAGTCTCGCTCTGTCGCCCAGGCTGGAGTGCAGTAGTGCAATCTCAGCTTACTGCAACCTCCGCCTTCTGGGTTCACGCCATTCTCCTGCCTCAGCCTCCCGAGTAGCTAGGACTATAGGCGCTCGCCACTACACCTGGCTAATTTTTTGTATTCTTCAGTAGAGACGGGGCTTCACTGTGTTAGCCAGGATGGTCTCGATCTCCTGACCTCGTAATCCGCCCAACTCAGCCTCCCAAAATGCTGGGATTACAGGCGTGAGCCACTGTGCCTGGCTAAGATTTTTAAAATAAAAACAATTTTTTTTTTTTGAGATGGAGTCTGGCTCTGTGGCCCAGGCTGGAGTGCAATGGCATGATCTCGGCTCACTGCAACCTCTGCCTCCCGGGTTCAAGCAATTCTCCTGCCTCAGCCTACCAAGTATCTGGAATTACAGGTGCCCGCCACCACACCTGGCTAATTTTTGTATTTTTGTATTTTTAGTCACCATGGTGGCTAGGCTGGTCTCAAATGCCTGATCTCAAGTGGTCTGCCTGCTGTGGCCTCCCAGAGTGCTGAGATTACAGGTGTGAGCCACCTCGCAGTAGCTCACACCTGTAATCCCAGCGCTTTGGGAGGCTGAGGAAGGAGAACTGCTTGAGGCCAGGAGTTCAAGGCCAGCCTGGGCAACATAGGGAGACCCTCTCTTTACAAAAAATTAGTTGAGCATGCACCTGTAGTCCCAGCTACTTGGAAGGCTGAGGTGGGAGGATCCCTTGAGCCCAGGAGGTTGAGGCTGCAGTGAGCCATGGGATCATGCCACTGTACCCCAATCTGGATGACAGAGCAAGAGGGGCATCTGAGCCTGTAGAATGGTCTGACTCCAAAGTCAAGACCTGACAAACCATTTCATTCCATTTACTTAAGAATTACAGATCCATGGATGATACCGCTGATAATGCACATAACAGAATTGGCCACATAGAGATTCCTTTGGGTGGGACATGCAAACAATCTTCCTTGGGAAGCAAATGGTACTTAAACACAATTGCTGTTTTGAGGGAAGATAAACCTTAGATGATTATTTTGTTTGCTCATGGCTGGTGAAAGCATCAAGACCACATGGAAAGGCTTTTGCTGGGATACTCACAAGAAAGGAGGTCCAGACCCAAGTGAACCTCCAGGTTTCCTGTCTGCTTCACTCTCCAGTCCTCTTTCCCACCTAGTGAATGTGCGTGATTCGGGTGTGGACAGAGGAACTGGCTGCAGGAGCAAAAAAACATTTGCCCTTAACCTGTCACTACCCACAATGAGTTTACAATGTTAACCTCCGGAAAAAAAAAAAAAAAAGCAAAGTTGTCAGAACAGCGGAATATAGTGTGTAATTAGATACAACTATTTTCTGTTTACTTTTTAAAAACTAGTAATTTAGCTGAAATCAATAATGAGACACAGTGACTCTTCCTCTCAAATCTCCCACCACCAGGTAGTCAGTTTGCAGTTAAGCGTTAACTATCCTCCACTTCTTGACTCATTGCAATATCCGCCTCCCGGGTTCAAGCAATGCTTGTGCCTCAGCTTCCTGAGTAGCTGGGATTACAGGCGTCCACCACCACCACGCCCGGCTAATTTTTGTATTTTCATTAGAGACTGGCTTTCACCCTGTTGCCCAGCCTAGTCTTGAACTTTTGACCTCAGGTGATCTGCCCGCCTTGGCCTCCCAAAGTGCTGGAATTACAGGTGTAAACCACCGCGCCCCGCCTGCATGTTGCTTCTTAGGAACAATGTATCATCCATCTATGCCAATAACTCCAGATCTGGCTGTCTGGCTTGCTTGCTTTCTTTTTTTTCTTTCTTTCTTTCTTTTCTTTCTTTCTTCTTTCTTTTTCTTTTTTGA